CTCAAAATAATGGCATCAGTGCACTGCACTGTGTTTACTCTCCGGAAGAATTCAGGTTGGAGATGCGCTCCAACAAAAGGTGGTGATACCATGAAGAGAAGGCAGGACCTTCACAGGAGGCCATAGCTTCATTTTTGATATCACTCTGCATCGTTTTAATGACATTAAGTTACAATGACTTCGCACCTAGCCAGTAGCGCGAAGGAAAATGTTTACCTGCAGACAACTAGGGAGATGTCCCAGCTGCTGATTTAGAGTCCAAAGCTAAGTGAGTTCAACCAGAGTGAATTTATGACTGCTCATTATTTAACTTAGTCTGGGATCATAATTAAAGACGGTATGGCAAGGAGAATTCCCACTGATGGCAAACAGCATCTTCTGAGACTCCAGCGAAGAGTAATCAGACACCTTTGGGGAAGCAATCAGGCATCTGTGAAAGAAAACTCTGATGTCAAGAGCCCCTCACACGGGATGCTTGTTTAAGTGTTGTGTGGCTTGCAGCACATTTAATGAGCCAGAAAGGTTAAAGCCCTTTTCCTTTTTTTCCTCCCTCAGAGTTAAAAATCATAAAGACAAACAGTATTTGATGATCCTAACAAGGAGCAAAATCAGATGGGCAGACATTTGTTGTACTCAGGATGCATCTCCAAACACATAAATGAAACACCTTTTCCTCCTCAGCTTCCTCGCCTGTACTTTTGCTGCAGCAGGTAATGGTTGGTAGCCACATGTCTGCTTGATGGGACAACATGTGAAAGCCATAAAGAACACACTGAATTGCAGAGTTAGGTCCTTGGACTGTGTAGTCTTTTAGGTAAGAATTCTCTTTACTTGTCCCCTAAGAGCAATGTGCATGATGAAGATAATAAAGAATTAGCAATCATTTTGGCATATCTGCTTGGAAGCAGCCTACAAAAAGCCAGAGTACAATATGGGATGTGACAGAGCAGTGCACTCCTGAGCCAGAGAGGACGGGCAACGTAAAAGGGGAGGCAGCTTTAACAGAGAAGGGCATGTGCAAAAAATCAAATGCTGCCACTGTTTATTATTTACAGTATCTGGTGAATACTTCATATATTCCCTGTTTAATTATAAGTCTGCACAGAGAATCTCTAACTTTGAGAAACTTTAGATAAATCAGTACTGTATCCACGGTGAATCTTTCTGTTAAATTCAACAGACTCGATACCCTGCATGACCTAACAGCATGATCCATTGCATATCTTGAATGTGCAGCAAATTTCCTCCTCTGAAAAAGCATTGCTGCCTGATGGGTCATAATCAATCCACTAATTGCTACTATTCTGTATCTGAATATTATGCATTGTGAATGGTATATTTTAAAAACAAGATACTTAAATATGATCTGTATGGTGTCTTGAAACAGTTTCAGGGTCAACTTAAGAATTAAGCTCAGCTCACAGGCTCTGATTCAGCAAAGGTCTTATGTGTATGATTTCATTTCAGGCTTACAAGCAGTCCCCAAGAGAAATGTTTTTATATCAGATTTTGCCACCAAAAGGAAGGAATGAGATAATGGAACCAAAGAAAACCTTCTTGTTAAATACTAACACAAAAGAAATACTGGAGTTTTTACTTCCCATCTGGAGTAAAAAGTTAGCCCTCCACATTGCTTCAAGTTAAATATTTTCACCATCTTGTATTCTCATTATTGCAAACTATCTTTAAAAATAGCTCCCCTTTAAAAAAAAAAAAAGGGAAAACAAAAAAAAAGGGAAAAAATAAATAAAAAAAAAGAAAGGAGTGTAATTACAAAACAAAACACAGGTAACATTCATCCTGGCTAACAGACTGGATCCAAATTCACTGACAGTTTTGGTTGACCTAAAATAGCCTTTCCCAGAAGACATTTTCTTCACCAAATGCTACCATTTATGGCGCTTTGCTAAGGAAAAAATCAGAGGATTTGCATGAAGTGAAAAATAGCTTTCCTGCAATGTATCTGCTGTGTATGCTAGCTGGTTTCAGTTCTGTGACCCCAGATAGCTTTTGATATCTAGGAGAAAAGGCATTGCTGTTCCGCGCCAAACTGCTCAGGATACCGAGTTTGTCAATGAACAACTGCACTGCTTCATACAGATCTGAAACTCGCTGCTCACCGGGGAATTCTGAAAATTATTCTGAACATTATGCAAATTGTTCTGGGCACATTTTCCTCCAAAACAAGAAAGGCTTGCATAACGAATGCTACACTGTTTTCCAGATTAGCAGTACTGCCCACAGACTTAATAGAGTGTGACAGAAGAAACAAATTGCAAAAATTCACACCGACAAACAAATCCAAACTTCCCCTCCAGAGCTGAAGACCATCACAAACCATACCACCTTGCAGCAAGCAAAAGACACATTTTCTTGACCTTGCCTTTTCCTACAACACACACATCTAAGCACAGGGAGGGCTTGCAGGAGCCAACACGTGACAGACATTGGTCACACTGCCTAATGCAATGTGGAGAGCATTGAGATGCAACTACGAGGTGTGCAGAGGAATCTGCACAGAATAAATTTGCTATGCTAACACTATATTCTTGCATTTGTATGCTAGACTGTCTGGCTGAGAAGTGCTCTGTGCACTCAGCTTCTCAGTACTTTTGCATGAATGACACTATATAAAGAGGTACTGTATTTACTAGCTGAATAAACAATAGGTTTTGCTTTCACTCAAGTATTATGACTTCAACTTGCTTTATTTATATGTCAGTAGTTCAGAATGTGCAGTGGACCAGGCACATCATCACTGTTCACCTTTGTCAAAGAAGAGGCCAGAAACATCCGCGTTGTTACATCTCTGGAACAGCTATAACTCATCCCCGTAACCTTTGGAGGATAAGCTACAATCCATTTTGTTAGCAACACTGCAGCAACCTATTTATTTTTAAGTTCGTAAAGAAATAAGGCACCTATTTTCACTGTTCCCTGGTGCGTACAGAACGTGAAAAGTTGACGGAGCCGGTAAAAAGGACTGGCTGCCCCACCAGCTTTTACCTCCTTCAGCAACAAGCTCGAGGGAACAAAAAAAAACATTGACAAGCATCATCCCGAGTCATGTCCGATCACGGGGGGATCATGTCCCCCAACTTGAGGGGCCTCTGTTGAGCATGTTGTAAGCCCAAATTTCCAGGTAGAAACAGTATGGAGCGTTATGGGTCCTGGACGAACCACACGGATTGGGAAAGGACCCACGTCTCAGGCCTCAATCACGTCAGGTGTTAAGTAGCCCAGATATATAAGCATGGACTGATGTTTACACAACTCCCTTGCTCCTGTGCACTTGTTCTAAGTGGACCATGTGCACTTGGTTGAATCTCGGCTTGAGGAGTCCTTAAAAGTCGGCAAAGGGGAATCTTTCCAGATACTTCGAGGGCCCCATTAGTATCAACACTTCTCACTGCAAGACTGTCCCATTAACTTCTGACCTGAGCGTTTGCAACACTCAGTTTGTAACTGTAGGCATCAGCTATTTACTAGGAGTGTGAAAATCACCTAAAGAATTTTAAAATCTTAAAAACCATCCAGTGACGCGAGGGATATTCAGAAATGTGGCCAAAGCGGTAAAGTCTTCTCAACTATTACACTGCATGTACCAGAGGTACCTCAGCTGCACTCAAAATAAAAACTAGTCAGTTTTGTCACTTTTAGCATAATGTAACCTATTAACTTTCATGACTGCTCTGGGTAAGCAATGCATACACAGGATATACCTGAAAAAATAAATACTGACACATGTTGCTGTTAAAATACTGATTGAAAACTGCAGACCAGAGCATCAGAGCGTGATGGGGTCTCTTCATTCCTAAGATCTCGTTCTCGCTTCTGATACAAATTCTGTATCCCAAGGCTGCCTTTAATGAACATGAGGTTTATGTGCATGTATATTATATATATAAAAGTAAGCACACACAGAATAATGAGCCCTGAGAAATACACTCTTCCTTACTCTCTCAGGAAGGTGAGGCTGCTGAACACAGCTATTTTCATGATTCACATCCTCTAAAAACGGCACTTGCTGTGCCTGGCCAGGTGAAAATGCCAGGTACACAAGGGCAGCTTGTAAATCCACTTAGTTGATTCCTTCTGGCAAACTGTCCCTTCTCCTACACCTCCATCTAGGACTGGTTAAGCACCAAGTATTTCTTGATCCTTAAATCTGGAAAGAGCTATAAACAAAATTTAATAAAATCAAGGAAAACAAAGGCAGTAAATGCTATTTATTTCTAGTCGTCTTTTATCCTGTACACATTTGTCTCAGAATTTTTGATGTGTACCTGTACCCAGGGAGTGTGTGCCAGTGCAGCTACTGCCACCTCCTTCCCAGGCCTCCTCCATGTAGCTTGTGAGCCAGCTCCTGACAGAAGCACCAGCTGTTCCACAAAAACGCTCGTGAAACACTTCAGCGAGACATTATGAAATACCCTGTCTATGTGGAACAGTTTTTTCCCCAATCACTGGTGCCAATAGGTTGATATATATGTTGAATGAAGAGGTCAGCGGTTCTTCAAAAGCCTTGTTGCTTCATAAACAAAAACCAGAACCACATCTGGATACCCCATCCCCATTCAAACACCTAGTGAATCAACACTAAGCCCTTATTCAAGATTCGCACAGGGCCTAAATTTTACTTCTGTCTCTTTTTCCTTAACATTTTTGGGGTTTTGTGCCTCTCTCAGGACCTAAGGCCAGCAGGATAATCACGGACACAGGCTGGATTGAACCAAACTCATTCTAGGTCTTCATCTCCATCGTATCCTGTGACAGTCAGTCTCGCAGGTAACTGCACCCACACCTGGGATTAGTTAATTTACTGTGACACACAAACAAGGAATACTGACATACATTGTGTTATTCCATTGGTACCTCACAGCTCTAGTTAACACGACATAATGAGCAAGTAGCAAACAAATGAGCAAAGCAAGTAGCAAAGCAAGTGAGCAAAACAAATGTCATATTATTCAAGTGCAAAATTCATGATCTTAACTCACCTTTGGAAGCTTCTGTTCCCAGTGGGTTTTCCAACATGTCTGTCATATCTTGGCTCCAAGCATCCTTCACAGCGGATTTCGACACCTTCCTGTTGTTCAGGCTTTGCTGTGGTCGGAAGTTATTCCTCAAATACTCCACAGACTTGACATGGTCTTGCTGTTCAGTGGTAAATATGGAATAGAAGGCCTCCAGCTGATCATGTCGGGGAAGAGAAAGAACGTTAATTAGAAAAAAACAATGTGGCCAAATCCGGGTGGCTGATAAGAATATAAAATGGCAGGAAATATTGATGCCAAGGCTGATAAACGCATCGGGAAGTCGGGCTGCCCACTGAAATCACTGCCAACCCTCTTATCTCGGCACCGTGTTTATCCTGCCACACAGCAGAGAAGGCCGTTGAGCAACCCGCGCAAGCCGGTCCCGGGCAAGGAAACTGCCCTTGTCTGGAAGGATTTTGCATGTGGCACAGCCCCACCAAACCCCCTCTCTGCTGGCACCGTTTTGTGGCGCGGCATCGTGCCAAGAGCAGCTTCCCAGCCCTTCCAGCCCACAAGTGTTCTCCAGGAGCAGACACTGCTGCGTCTCTGACTCCCTTACGGGCACCTCGCGGCCGGGCTAGGCCTCACGGATTGACCTGGCAGAGCTTGCGCAGGAAGGGCAACGCAGTTGCCCCAGCTTTACAGGATGGGCACCCAAACCTGCATCCTGACATGAGCAGGTCGCCAACAATGCGGAGCCACCTCAGGACTCCCAGGTCCAAGGGCCCTGACCTCCTCCCAGCCACCGCTCTCTCTGCTACAGAGGAGGAAAAGAATAACACAAAATAAATGCATTTAGGTAGACAGCATAAAGTCCTCTGGGAAAGGAAGCTGGTGTTTCCTCCGTTGGATGCAGCTCTGAGCTATTTTTAATAAAACGTATTAACCTGTACAAAAGAACTGTAATTGGAAAACTCCCCTGTTACTTACATATTTCTTATTATTCTTAAAGAAACTAAACTAAGGTGGCATTATTTTCAGCTAATACTGTTCTCACAACTACCAAGGCTAGCATCGCATTTACTAAATGCTCGTTATCACATGGGTCAAGGACCAAAATTAGTTGTGTTGCTGTTAGAAAGTTCTGAGCAAGACTGTAGAGGAGGAACCAGCCCTGGTCTTGTTTACCTCAGCAGTAATTACTCCCATCCCCAGCACGGATTTCAGGGCGTTCAGGATCTGTCCCAAGACTTTAAAAAGGGAGTGGAGTTGCACTCATAGCTTAATGACAGGCCACAGTTTGAAGGCTGCACATTTTTCATTAAGTGTATCTGCTCTGAAAGCTACAGAGGCGAGTGACAGAGTCCTGAAACTGGGATAAATTAGACTGCTGGCCACGCTGTAGCCTCAACTGATCGCACTGATAAAAATAATCAAAGGAAAGGGTAACAGACCAGCTAAGTGTCCTTCACTGAACCAAGAGGCACTCACTACCACTACTTAATTTCCCTCCAAATGAGTAAACTGAAACACCCCTTCTGCTGCTGTTGCCTGCTTGCCCGCTTTGCTGGGATTGCCGATGTGAGGTGTTCACCTAAAATCCAGCAAACTTCCCTGACCTGCAGGACAGAAGGGACTCTGTTTTTACACATTTTCATTTCAACATTAACCCCAACTGGGGTGAGGAGCTGCTGGGCCAGTTAGTGGAGACAGGTATGGGGATGATGTGCCTGGGAGCCGCTTGCAGCTATGGGGAGGCAGCAAAGGGATGGACTGCACAGCTCAGATCTCTTCTACTTTTCCTTAAGCAGTCAGATGCTTCAGCTAACCCCTATGTTCTTCTTTACTCTCCCATGAAGGCACAGGTCCAAACTCTGCAAGGATCTACCTAGCGTTTCACCTCATGCCCTGGGAGTAGTTTTGATGAAGACAGATGACAAGGCTTAAAGTTACTCTGCACATGCTCTAGAACTGGGGTAGCAACTGCTCCTCTGCAGTCAGGTGTCTAGGCTTGTATTTTGATGATGTTAATTGAATTTTTAAAGCTTCAGAGAGAACTTTTAAAATATTTTCTTCTGCCATGCTACCTTGGGGAGGTGTAATTGTATTTTAACTACTGCCACTTCAAATATGATTTTTAGCCTTCCTCTTTTTATGTGTTGAAGTGTGTATAAATCATTTCAATTTCATTTTTATTATAAAAATATTATCTACCACAAATGAGAAATTAATTGATCTATAGCTGCCAGGAAAAAAAATTCGAGAGCTACGTTCAAGGAGCTACATTCATGCTCCTTAAGGAGTATGAGAGCTCCTGTTCAGAGGAAGAAGTGAAAAGCTGTTAAAACACTATTGTAGATACAGAAAAACCTGATCTAAAACTCCGAGTCATGTAATTACAAACTATTAAAGCCTGATGTGCACAGTTTTCTAAGGGCTGGTACATAAATGGCAATTAAAAATAATGCAACTGTTACAAGCACAATGAGATACTCCGAGGTATGCATTACAGGAGATAATGCCATGCTTAGGGTCACTGAATGCACTTAGCTTTACAATGTATCTGCAGGGTGACACGGCTTGTCCTGTTTTGTTGTCTAATTATCGGATGAGATGACAATGATGGAGTGCTGAAAATCAAACGGAGAAGCCTCCACAAATGGACCACTTCAGCACTGTCCCTTTTACAGCAAGGTATTTTGCACAAAAGCAAGGATTTAATTGGAACAGTAACAAAGCTCAAATAATATCACTTTCCTCCTCTGGGATTACAGACTGCTTCACAGGGTTTGTGATAAAGAAGGTTAAACTATGGCAATGGATTATGCTGCACCGTTTCTGTTACAAGAACAAATAATAATCATTGCAGTGGCAGGGTGGCAGTCTCTTAAAATACACTCATCTCGAGCTGCCAAGGGGAAGAATACTATTATTTATTCCACATTTGTCGCAGTATCAGTGAATGGCTGTCTGCACACTGAATTCCCAGCCCTTCTACCACACATGCCTGCATAGAGCAGCCCAACTCCAAATTTTCAAGGCTTAACTTGGCACTGTGACTGCTGTGCAGCACAGGAAAGAAGCTATGCTGGAATAAAGTACCTTCATAGCATTATAGGGATCTATAGCTGCTACTTACCAGTTTATTGGCGTACATTAAAAATGAAAACTTGTTTTTTCTTTCCTTTTTTTTTTCTTTTTTGAAAGGGATGTCCCAACCCACCTGGCACGTCTACAGCATATAAAACTGAATGTGGGTCAGGCCTCAGAGCAACCCAGTGATAATAAACTACTTAACAGTACACTTATTGATTTGCGAACAGTGAAAAGCCTGAAGGGATTGCAATATACTGTAGGCAAGGGCAGAATTCAAAATGATCCGGACAATCGGAGAAACAGCCTGGAAAACACAAAGGGTCCGATTCACCCGGGACATGTGCACAGTCTCCTGCTTAGGCCAGCGCTGTCGCCTGCAGGAAGACGCGGCGTGAAGCAGCCGTGCTGGACATGGTGCTGTGGAAACGCAGCGAGGGAAGGGGCTCTTGCTGGCCACGCAGGGACCAGGGGTGGCCACATCATGCTTTTGTGAAAAAGCCAAAAAAATGCACTCATCTGCAAGTGTGCAAAGAGAAGGGATTGGAGCAAGAGCAACGTGATCTCCTTGCACCCTTTCAAAACCTCTGAGGAGCAGCAGCAGCTTCTGCGCAAGGTGCTTGAGTTGGTTGGGTGTGTGGGTGGCCCTGGGGGACACCTCTTGGAAGCCCTTTCCAGCCTCTGGTGGCCCAGCAACAGCGCAGGAGCACCGCAGCCATCAGATGTGTGAAGTATTTTGCAGTATTTCCTAAGCAGAACCTGTTTTCACCAACTCAGTGCCACTTGCCATTGTAGGCAGGAACTGACTTTTTATTCATACATGAATTCATCCTTTGTGGTGCTGATCCTCACAGTGGTAGTAGGTACTACTTTAATAAAGCTAACAGCTAAAAAAAAATCACTGATTATTTGATGTCTTTTCTCTGCCTCCAACAGCATCCAGTGAACTGTTTGCTTAAACTTTACAGAATTAGTCTATTTTAAGAGTTTGCTTTTGATGTCCCAAGCCAAGCCAATAAAAGGAAAGACTAGCATCAGTGGGACAACTTTCTAAAGACGACAACCTTAAAGCATCAAAGATGCACTGAGCTGGTAAACATCTGACTACATCTATCCATTACTTTACTGTGAGCATTCTTCTCTAGACAAATCCCAGACATGGTCTCTATTTGCATTAAAAGCTGTTACGTGCTAATTTTAAAGATTTGTGTACCAGCTCTCTAAGCACATAATGGCAGCTTTGCTGTGCTACAAAAACAGTTAAGCATGGAGAATTAATGGAAACACGTCTTTTCTAATGTAATTAGTTCAAATTACTAAATCTGAGCAGAACTGAAATCACTTACTTCACTTTCAAAAGAAAGTTTCAATTAAAAAGAATAAAAAGGAACTCCATGCAAATATTTAGACCACAGCTTAATTTAATCTCAACACAAACAATACCAAATAAATCACGGAAAGGAAACGGGGTTTCATGTTGTACCGTCTTCTCAAGACTGATGGCTCACATTCAGAAACAGCATTACTTTAGAAAAAAAAAAAAATCACCAACGCTTCCTTTTTTGTCAACAGAAACTTCTTTTCCCTCCCAATATCAGGATGTCATTTTTGGAGAAAGTTGCTTTAAGAGGGCAAACCAGGAGCTGAACTCTACTTAAAAAAACAAACAAACAAACAAACAAACAAACAAAAACAAACAAAAAAAACCCCCGCACCTGACGATAAGAGATAGGAACGGGCTTCCGAAACACGATCCACTCGACGATCTCGCTGCAGGGAGGGGTGGTGAGGGAGCCCGCGTAGCGGTAGTAGCTCCCCAGGGACGTCGGCAGAAGGTCTCTCAGCACGAAGGGATCCAGGAAGGTCTCCTTCTCTGCAGAAAGATTGACAAGCAAAATTACACTTTTTTTCTAACGTGTCTTTGAAACAGACATCACATTGATAGGCAGCCTAACAACGTGTAATGGCAACAACATATTTTATCATATACATATATATATATATATATATAAGGGAATAGGAAGACACCCTATGAGGAAGGCTCTGTTTGAGGTGCTATGCTCATCATTAAAAGAGCAGCCAGAACGCTAGTCAACGCTGTACCCAGTGTGTAGGTTCCTCCTGAGAAGGCAAACGGGTGCCAAGTGCCCTTGTTATCCCACCGCTTGGTATCAGCATGGAAATAACATCACTTAGAGCCGTTCCAGCACTCAGGAGATGGTTCCTCAGCGTTCCCTGAGCTCCTGCAGGATGGAGCCAGGTGCTGCCTGGTGTCCCTGACCACGAGTGCCCTTGGTAAAACCCGCTGCCTCTTCTCTGCAGTCCAAGAGGCACCAAGAAGGTGGTGCTTGATGGGGTCCAACGTTCTGGGGAAAAACTCAGCTCTTCTTGGCCAATGCAAAGCTGAGCACTGGCAGTATTTAGCTTCAAGTAGCAGTGAAAAGATGGCAATATTTAACTCTGTGAAGGTAAATAAATAAGCAAAAGGAGGGAAGTGCCACAGGCAAGACAATCTCCCGGCCATCCCCAAGCATTTATCCTCTGCAATTTACGGTGGCTCCTGTGCCAAGGTGCTCCCTGCCCGAGGGCGGGCTGACCAGCGAGGCTCTCCTGCCCATCTCCATTCCTCCTGTCCTACATTCTGGGTGCCTCATGCAAAATTTAGGGCAGCAGGAAGCAAAGCGCTCATAGGCTCCCTTTTTCCAAAACATGAATAATCTACTAAAGCCGCAGTCTGTCCTATAATGGAAGACTGGAAACTCGCCATTAACGATTTCTTTCTGCCTAATGTATGAAGGTATCAGTCACTTTTCCACCTGCAATCAGGAAAGAAACCAAAAATAAAACATTTTTTTTCTTTTAATAATTTGTGTTTGGTAAAAACTCTGGGGTTATACGTGAAATGATAAAATAGACATGATTGGCCAAAGTTCAAAGAGATTGTAATCAAGAAGTCATAATCAAGCAAAAGGTCGTATTTAATTTGATTTCCTGTTTAAAATCAATTGGCTTATTTTTATACAGGAAAAACGGTTAGAAAAACTGAAAACTCAGTTATGGGGCTTGATTTTAAAAGTCAGCACATATGTTCTTCACATATATATTCTTCACAACAAAATGATCTAACTTTTCTACATAAGAAACTTTCTCTTTATATGTGGAAATCAGGAGCACAATATATTGTCTGAAAAGGCATTTGAACATGCAAACATACGTGTTTTCATTAACAGCCAATGACTATAAATGGAATTGATGGGAAACATGCACATTTTAAAAAGAGCGTTCTCTTTATATCCAGGCTAATTGGGAAATTTAAAAAATACTGCTTTAGTTTAATTAACAATTAAACTATTTTTAACTACTATAACCTTTTACTTAGAACTACGAAAACACTTAAGATGCTGGACAAAACCATTCCATTAAAAACTTGGAGTGTCCCTTTATCAAAGGATGACAGGAGAGCAGAGCTCATTTTATACTTTCAAGGATTTCTGTGCCATATGCTGACAATATTATATTTTAATAATTAATTGTTCATCAAAGGAAAAGATGAAGAACAGGGATGCTAAATTCAAAGTTATTCAAATTGCAAAAATGAATAATGCATGACTTTTATATTAAATACACACTGTATTAAGTAGTCTACATTTCATCCAACTCTGCCTTTCATTTTTAAACATTTTGAACTACAATATGAATAATCAACCAAGGGAAGCTTATTTAGACAGAGAAATACCTTATCTGAATGCAAACTGGAAGTATCCAACTATGATTGAATTTTGGTTATCAATTAGGGAGGTTTTTTTCCTAAGCACTTGGAAAGAAACAGCCAGCTTCGAAAGAGGAATATTTCTTGAGGAAAAAGTAGCTTTGCTACCACATAGTTTAAGTAGGGCAGGGTGTACCCTATCTAATTTTTCATGGCCACAAGCAATGCTGTAAGTTTTCATTAATGAATTTCAAAGATTAAAACAAAAAAAAACATATAATTGGATTAAAATGACTATTACAATAGATGATAATCAATTGATTATGCTTTAATAAGCTAATACTTCTGAAAACACTTATTTCATTTGTATCATTTCCACCTTAGATGCATAGTGCAGCCTCAGAAACCAAGGTGTCAAGCAGGTCTTCAGGGAAACTTAGATATTCAGAAGTCTACTCCCATACCTGTCAGGATTATACAGCAACAGTGAATGCAATGAGGTTGTGCTCCTGAGAGCCTGAGCTGCCTCTGAAAAAGGGACTTTAAAGTCACGTAGTTACTTTCAAAATTCTAATCTTAAATCAAAACAGATTATTCTTGGTAAATCCGTAAGAACCCATTTGCAAGCTAGGTGACAGCATATTCACTGAATATGCTAGACATATAAATCTTTACACATATACCTATGTATATACAGATACGTGACCCTTATTATAAGGAAAAGAACAAGGTTGGCAACCTTCCCTCCTGGCTTCCACGTCTGGCTCCCATTTCTCCTTCTCATGTTCGGCACCGGCCTGGGCTGTGTCCAGGAACAGCCTGAGCAGGGTGAAGAGCAGGAGAAACGGCCTGGCCAACGCCGGCGGCTACGCAATCCGCCGTGTCGGGAGAATTAAAACCAATATCAAGACACTGCTTTGTGCAGACAACAGGCAGGTTAAAAAAAAGAAGAAAAAAAGCCACAAATGCAGCAGGGAAAACGTGGGCACTGCAGGTATCTGCCAACGGCCTCCTGGCAAAGCAAAGAGGCACCTGAAATGCCCACTGAAAGGCCCCACCAAGGCAGCACCAGCAGGCTGGTTTTACAGAGTAAACGTCGTGTCGTGTTTAAAGCACCAAGGCCTGTAAAAAAGTTCGCTCTGATATTCCCACACAAAAATTAATGAGGAGCATTGATTCCTTGTTGACAATTAAGACAACGAATGTGACATTTAAACTGCGACTGTTCTACAGCATAAAAGGACAATATGGTATTTTTGATTCTTGTATTCACAAAAAAGAGAATTAATGTAGCCAGCTGGTAACAAATTTGACCTTCTGATGCAACATTCATGTCCACCGCTTGATCTTCTATAACAGTAATGGGAAAGGTCATTGGGGAAACTAGAAGAAAAATACACAAGCAAGCAGCATGTTCTAGTTTCATGTTTATCTGTAAGCCAATAGGAAAACTTGCATTTCATTCTCTATTTTTAGACTAATACTGTAGGAAGCACATATTTCTGCGGCATGTGCAAGCTCCCTTTTGCAAACTGATGTGTAGCAACAGAACATAAAAATGTAGGACTGAACAACTTTAAGACAGCACTGGATGAACAAGTATCTGTTTCAACAGCTTCCAAAATTCTACTTGTCTCCCAGGCAAAGAAATAATCTTCATTTTTTCAATCTAGTCTCATTAGCTACCTTATAATAATGGTCAGCACATTCCTTGGTTGGGCCAGTAATTCTCCCTCCTTTTTTGCAAGGGTGCATTGGGGCTAAGATGCATTTTTGGTACAAACAACCCAAAGTCAGGGCAATCGTAGTGTGTTTTAAAGAGTTGACCTATGTCACACAGTGTGTCAAGGCATCACCCCAAGATGTGAAGTAGTTGTGCCCAGTAGCTTTCCCAGCAGAGGACAATCCAGTTCTTAAAAACAGGTATTCACAGCTAATCTCCACCAACTACTGCATTTTTTTTATTGCAACCTGATATCAAGAAGTATTGTCATCAGTTGAATGTTCAACTTCAAGCAGATTGATGCTAAAAATAAGTTATGGTAACATGCTGGATAAAGATAGCGCTGTATTTTATCGCAATCACTGTGAGGTAAGAGGGTTCTTGAGATATGTAGGTAAACAGCATCACAACTATCTGTGATCAAAACCCTTCGCAAATCTACCAGAAACTTGGATCACAAGAAAATAACTATATGCCAAGTCCGTTTATATCTCATGAAATGCTTTGGGACTTTCATCATGCTTTTCTGCAAGAAAACAGGAACTTGGCTGCACTGAAAACAGTATCTTAAAATGAGCTTATTTCCAAAATTAACGTATGTGCAATGCCTGATAGGTGGAAGCGCTACCCAGCTACACTTTGAATAACTGAAATCTGCAATACCAATATGAAGAGCTTTGAAAGTCTCCCAAATTTGTTAAACAATGTTACTGCCAATTTTGTTTTCACAATGAGCCAAGTCATTCTAAAGCTTCTGCATTCAAACATTTAAAAACAAACACGCAAAAATAATCAAAAGGACACCATGCTGCACACCCACCGAGCCAGAACTTCCCAGATAAAGCAGCCTGCACACCAGAGAGGAACCCAATTCACTGCAGCGATTTTAAAGATGCAATTACAAATATTATATGTTATTTTAACTAAAAAGATGTTAAAATGAGTACTCGCTGTGTAAATCCTGCATGCAGAGCAGTTTTTGACAGTCCTCTGCATGCAGTGTAATTCAGGTCATTTATTGTGTAATTATTATTCTCACTTTATTTATTTTTTTTAAGACCTTAGCAATGTGAGGAGCTATAAGGACATAGAAAGCACTGCATGGTGGGAAGGAAGGCAATGAGATACTAACATAGCCCTTACGTAGGGAGCCTGCAGTCTAATTTAATCTGAGAAAATCAGCAAGCAGTAAAAAGAACAGGAGGAAAGAGAAAAAAGGCAAATCTCCCAAGTGGAAATAAAAAATCCAGTTGAAAATTTGCATGCCAGGTGTCTCAACCTTAATTTTTCTCCCTCCCTCTTTCGAAATAGTTTAAGAGGAAAAGGTTCAGCTCGGGTGGGAGAGGTAGGGGGAGCTTAACCCCTTTACAAAGAAGTAGAAAAATAACACTGAGCCTTTAATGCTGAAGTAGTGCCAATGCAGTCCCGGGTTGCACACCTC